TCTATGGTGGGGAACGAACGCGCTATTATCCTTTCCGGGGAGACTTTGTGATTTGTGATTGTGATTTCAACTACAGCCATAGCTTAACTGGGTTCTATGCCGATTTGCGCTCCCCAGATCAACCCCGCTGACGGGTGATTGCTGTGGCAAAAAGATCGATAGAAATAGCTGAGAGACGTGCGAAACAAAGGACCCGCATGGTGTGGTGGTGAACGCGTTACTCCCCGGAAAGGACAATAGCGCGTTCGTTCCCCACCATAGACACCTGCGGTCCAGAGTTTTGCAAATATCTCAGCAACGTTGTGGTTGTATTTCGCTTACTTAGTAACCTGCCATGAAAATTATAGAAGGCAGAAAACAAAAACGTTAAACGTTAGCCTATGTATTTTTTTTTAATCAATCTCATATTATCTAATCAATGTAACAAATCATATTTATGAAGCGTTCATTGTTGATCAATCCAATAACGACCCGCTTTGGATGCGACTCCATTGAGCAGCGTCATTGTTCTTATTCTTCTAGACAAGCTAGATACGAATCGGTGCTGAACTGGAAAGGGTGGAGGAGTTGGCTAAGGCCGCTTACGCGGGATTGAACCAATGGGCATACATGTACTGCAGGGAACAGAGTGACCTGCCTCTCAAATTACACGTAATTTGCTTCTAAGAGGGGAGTATTATTCAGAGAATTCTGGATGGTATTATCCTTATTCTTATCATTGTTATCATTTGTAACTCATTTTACTACTGAACGATCGGACATTAAGTCATTACTTCCGTTTTTCAAAGCAACAGTTGAGATTGAATGATAGAAAAAGTACATAGGAATCGGTAACGATGACTGTTATGACAGCTGTGGTAGTACTGATGATGATATCGATGGTGATGACGACGGTGATGATGTAACGGTTATGTTGATAATGGTGATTGAATGATTGATCGCCTAGCTTGAAGAAGCTCATAATGGTGATGTGGGCAAGTTTTCAGCCGATGATGGTGGCGAGATTGTACAGTGACGGCCACCATCATCCGGTTCGATCTTGACGCATTATTATTTCGACATTACGCAATTCATTAGTATCGTACCCGTTCCTTGAAAAAAAAAAGAAGGAAAGGACAGTAACGAACTTGTCCAGTTTTCCTTTGCCGAGATCTTAACCATATTCATTCGCTTTGAAACGTTCGTTTGGATAACGTTCAATGTTCGTGCCGCTTTCAACGCGATATTGCTTGTCGGAATTTCTCTCAAGTCGAATAGTAGTTCTTTTATAGTTTTAAACAAGTTTCTAGTAAACATTCAGGATTATTTTTGCCATTATTTGTTGTACTTCGGGATGCACTACACTGTTTTCCGTATATTAAGCACTAGCAGCTTTGTACAATTTAAGTAACAAAGCGGTTTCCATTTATATAGCCTTTGAATCCAAGTTCTTCTTCAAACCTCGAGCCAGATGTTGCCGGCATTCTGAGTAGAATAAAATTTAGATAAATTTAGATAAAATAAAAAATAGAATAAAAAAAACTTTTACACCCAACTATAGCGGCAATTGTGAGATTCTTGTTTAAGAGTACGAGACTTTAGGAGCACTTGTGTGCGAATCTTATGACATTGAACAAACTACTCATAGTGTAGACAATGTCTACCCATACAAATGGATTTAAAATAATGAATATTAAAACGCAAACCGAAGTTATGAGGTACTGAATCAGTTGGCTAAACCAAACTACGGCACATCTATTTACGCAAACGCGTTTATTGGCGTGTCGAAGCAAAATAAGAACACGCAGGAGAGGCAGAATAAGGTTTTGTGTTATGTAGTTTCTTACATAATTTTTGCAAATTTCTCTTTTATGTCAGTGGTTTGTAGTGGGCTTAAAATTCAGAATTTTTGTTGACTGTTGTTCAGCAAAGGGAGCCGAATTACTTCCGTTGATTGAATGAATTTTGGGTTGTCTACACTGAAAAAAGAAAAAAAACTACTGACAAATAAGACATTTTGATCAAGTAAAAAGTAACAGTAACATTAGTAAGCAATGTTATAGAAAATTTACAACAAATGCACAAATGAAAAACATTCTACGGACGGCATCAAAGGTCCACCGCTTCTGTTCGAAGGAATGTCACCCATATTTTTGTCTAGTTTTTACTTATATGGTGATATATA